CCAGCAGGTCAGCCCTCAGCCTGTACTGGTGCATGGGGTTCAACCTCCCCAGGTGCAGCACCTGACACTTGCCCTTGTTGAACTTCATCAGGTTCCTCTCCACCCAACTCTCCAGCCTGTCCAGGTCCCACTGAATGGCAGCGCAGCCTTCTGGTGTGTCAGCCACTCCCAGTTTTGTGTCATCAGCAAACTTGCTGAAGGTTTACACTGTCCCCTCGTCCAGGTCATCAATGAAAGTTGAACAAGACTGGGCCGAGTACTAAGCCCTGGGGAACTCCACTACCTACCAACCTCCAACTAGATTCTGCCTCGCCGATCAGAACTCTCTGAGCTCTGCCATTCAGCCAGTTCCCAATCCATCTCACTGTCCACTCACCCAACCCACACCTCCTGAGCTTCCCTATGAGGGTGCTATGGGAAACAGTGTCAAAAGCCTTGCTTTCAAGCTGTCGACGTCTGTGCCCTGTGCACAAATACAGATTTATCCTTATCTCACTAGGTTTATTCTGGTATTTTTCATATATTAGGTGTTGCCTTAGGCGGGGAGATAAAAGAATGCCTTTTGGTAATAATAACAGTATCTAATCAATTCTCTTCTCGTTAGGTAACAGTAACTTACCCGTCATCCGATTAGACACGATCACCACAGCAGATTTCCTGGATGTGATCGCCCACACCAAGCCATCAGCGAAGAATCTAAGCCAGAAGTACACAGCTTGGCAGAGAGAATTTGAGTCAGTTTGAAAGGGAAAAATCCCCAAAGGACTGAAAACTTCCAAGACTTTTGCTATCCTAAATGGCATCGCCTTGCCTCCAAAGGATGGGATGGTGATGGGGGAGGAAGTGCTGTTGTTTCCAGGGAAGCGAATGCAGTGAGAAATGTCAGGGGGAAGTCTTCGCTTTCAAAATCTAATGGGCAAGGGGGAGGGGGGAAGTTGTTTGGTTATTTTTTTATTCGCCATTTTCAATGACCATTAAAAAAAACATTCTTCATGGAAATAATGTAATGGCACTTGCTATGTAACGAAGCCTCCAGCCTTAATTTTATGTATAAAAACTTACAGATTGCTTGTCAGTCTTTATTTGTGACGGTTGTTTACAGGTTTGGGGTAGAAGAACTGGAGCAGAAAGCTTGTTAGGAACAGTTAGAGGATTAGTCTAATTAGATCCTCCCTTCCCGAGACTCACTACAGCACCACAATCAGCGTAGCTTTGCCAGCAGAGACCTGCACCCCTTTCAATCAAACAGAAGTCGCTGCTTTCAGTGAAATTTGGTACCTTAGCAGTGCCTGTAAATCTGGTTAGTTTGTCATCGCTTGCTTTCAGCTGAGATCCAAACCTTGACGTGCCACATGTATTACTTTCCAATTGGGTTGGGGGTATTTCCAAGGCGGAAAAGGCAAGGAAGTAGAAGAACTTGGAGAGACTGTAGAAAAAAATCAACAGATTTAGGCTAATCTAGAAACTGGATCAGCGGTTACCCCACTGGTTTGCAGCCAGGCTTGAAATGCGAACGGTGAGTCTTTGCAGCGCAGCGGCAATTACGAGCCGAGTTGTTGGAGACTTCTCTGCTTATAAACATGGCCGGGTAGCCAGTCAGGGCTGCCTCATCCTTAATCTTTTAATTAGAAATTCTGATCAGCCATGGAGTCGCCCTCTACAACGGCCTGACAGGGGGTTGTGGTGAGGTGGGTGTTGGGCTCTGCTCCCAGGGAAGGGGCGATGGGACGAGGGGCACCGGCCTCAAGTTGTGCCAGGGCAGGGTGAGGTTGGCCATGGGGAACAATTCCTTCCCCTTGGGGCTGTCAGGCACTGGGAGGGGCTGCCCAGGGAAGGGGTCGAGTCCCCAGCCCTGGGGGGATTTAACAGCCGGGCAGCCGAGGTGCTGAGGGCCAGGGTTTGGGGGTGGGGTGGCAGGGGAACGGTTGGGCTGGGGGATTTTAAGGGTCTTTTCCAACCTAAACGATTCTATGATTCTGTTTTCAGGCTCTCAGGTCTCACGGCTGCCCCTCTCTTACCCTTCCTCTTGCTTGGCAAGACAAGTTACCCTCTTCGTGGTTCTCCCTGTGTTTTCCTTGCCCAGGCTTGTGTGCAGCTGCTTTCCTGAAGTACCACGGTCTTGCAGGCTTGCCAGCAGGCTGTGGGGCCTCTAAAGCGCTGACAGTCTCTTTCGGTTTTTCCCTAGTGTCACTCGCATTGTCAGCAGCCTTAGGGGAAATGCCTTCGCAGGGTTTGGCTACAGACCTCACCTCCTGAACCCGACTGCGGGCCGAAGACCTCCCGTCCTTACTCCAAGCAGAAACCAAGAGAGGTTCAGAATTGTTGGCGTGAGCGCTAGGTGTGCGAATTTATTCCGAACTGTAGGTTACAATCTATGAGGGGGCACAACCAGTATCCAAAGACGGCCTTTGCTCCCGGGGGGGGTTTAGTGTTGCTTGTGTTTCTACTGCCGAGTCTCCATTCTGTCTCGGAGAGAGATTAAACCTGCGCGTAGGTCACCCCCCACCACGTGCGGCTGCAGGCAGAGACTCCTTCGCGTAAGGAGAGCTTCCCATTCATTCATCACGGCGATTTTTCTTAACAAGAACGAGCATGGCTCATTAACACAAACCTGTATTTTCGATAAGGTTAATACTCCAGTAATGTATAATTACAATCTAATAATTTAACACTCAGGAGCACTGTAAAACAACTGTAAAGGACTTTGATTATTAGAGCTCGCAAATGGACCAGAAAAGCTATTTACCATCGTTACAAAGTTGGTTCAGAGTGGTGGCTTTAGCACTTAAGAAAAGCACGGCCTGCTACAGAGTTAAATTTAATTTTACAGCTCTCCGAACCAACTGTGGAAAAACTGGAATCTGTCCCCATGGTTTGTGAAGGATTTTTCCCGTAACATTAAAAAGAAACAAAAAACCCCCAACAACAGTGAAATTTTGCAACTGGAACATTAATAGGACCCTGCTGAAGTCTAATTTAAAAAATTCAGAGTCTCCAAGGCATTTAATACCAGGGTTTTGTTTCTGTACCATTCTTTTTAATAACAGCATCTAATTAAAACATCTGTAAAATGCTGACAGTTTTAATTTTATGTAAAATTTGAAAAACAAAACCCAGGATCTGTTCTAATGAGAGGAAAGATATCAACAGTAGTTATTATTAAAGAACAGTGATATTTTAATTTAAAAGCCACTTCTAAACGTGCCTGATCTCTACCTTTAAATTAGAGCAGAGCAGAGGCGCGCTCAGTGAAATCACTACAGGCTGGCTGTTAGTCTTGGAGCTTTATTTACTTGAGCATTTCCAGTGTGGAGGTTGGGTTTGGCTTTTTTTTCAGTTTAGCTTATTCGGCAGGAGAAGGTGACGCTTCCCAGAGAGAGCTTTTCACCAGATATTTCTTGAAAACTGAAGATCAGCAGAACTCCCTGCCGCGCTCCCCGTGTCGCCCAGGAAAGCAGCTGTGTGGGCTGTAGCCTTTCTGCCTCACCTGCTGGGTATCCAGGGTCCCTCATCACATCCTCCAGAAAGGACAACAGGAAAGGGGCTTTGCCATGGCTGGGCTGGGGCCCCATGCTGATCTGATGCAATGCATGCATTGATCCCGTGACCTTAATTTTTGAAGCAAGAGTAAGGGAAATGATGTGAAACTGATGCCTCTTCAAACTAACCGTTCCCTTTCTCATAGCAGATGCTCTAGAATATGTTCCACTGCCTCTGGGAAACTCTCACAGGTTAAGTAAGGAGCCGGATTGATTTTGTCTTCATCTGCCGGTCGATATTTACCTGTAACAGATCAACAAAGAGAAACATTTACCAAGTTCCTTTGGGTATCCTCATTTCCCCACAAAAATCACAGCCTCCGGGGCTCAGTAACAACCAGACGTGGTAGGAGGAACGCCCACCTGAGGTTCTCCCGCAACAAACATCCCACAAGTCTTCGCTGAAGAAAGACTGAGCCTTACTGAAGATTCCTTTGGGGTGGCTCTGCCTCAAAAGCAGTGTTACTTATGCACTGGTTTCACTCTACTGTACTGAATCATAGAATCACAGAATCCCAGGTTGGAGGGGACCTCAAGGCTCATCTGGTCCAACCTTGCTAGGCAAGAGCACAGTCTAGACAAGATGGCCCAGCACCCTGTCCAGCTGAGGCTTGAAAGTGTCCAGTGTGGTGGAGCCAACCGCTTCTTTCACTGACTAGACAGATACTAGTGGTGTAGGTTCGTGAAATGGTAAGAGTTATCGTCTTCCCTTCTGGGTTCTGTGAGGAAGAGGAGGATTTTGCTTTTATTTTCAACACAATGGACTGTGAGGCACGAGCAGCTGCCACCCTCGAGAAGACCTTACCCAGCCCACGGTACCATCAGTAACACTGATAATACCCATCAGTCCCTTAAGGATCCACTTTTGTCTGAAGCAAAATTACTTCTACAATCTCCAGTGTAATTACTAGGGGATGTCACCAGGAGTTCCCGAGTGATCACAGGTCACACCGCTATGACTGATTTTGGCAATCTGCGATGTCACAGTGACAGTTCTCGCTGTTCTTTGACCAGTGCTTGAGATCTGAGAGCCCTTAGAGCAAAAAATTCACACCTACAAGATCAGCTGCCCCCACCTATTACGTCTTATCATCCTGCTATCAGTTCAGGGCCTGTGCTCTAAGCCCTCTCGTTGAAACATCAAACGTAACAGCTTCTCGTGACTTAATCGCCATCTACTGCTTGGCAGGCAGCCACACTGCAGCTGAGGAAATGTATCTGCTGCATTCACCCCAAAATGAAGGGGGTGATGGACTCGGGGTCTCCTGGCAGCCCCCTGGTGAGCAAACCGCAGGAATGGCGGGCCTCCACAACGCACCAGGGCTCAATGCGGGGCTCAGAGCGTACCTTTGCTTTGGGCAGGGGGGCTGCCAGTACCCAGGGCCAGGTCACTGAACGCACCACTGTCTCCCCAAACGGCTGTTCCATCGAATACTCACCGGTCCTTACCAATATCCCACGCATGCCCGCATTCTGGGCGCCACCAACATCATCCCGACAGTCCTGGGATAGAACAGGAGATCAGCTGGTTAGTGGTCATGGACGCTATTTGTTAACAAGTTTTTCAGGACGTGCTCTGCTTTGCATGTCACTAACCAGCCACTTAGAAGCAGCTACACGGAGTCAAATCTTTTAGCTACCTGTTGGACAAACTGTCACAGGGATGATTTACTACGTGCCTGATCAAACAGCGACTGAAGTAAGAGAACTAACCCCGCGGACTACACCTTAAATCCTGCAAGTTTTGACGGTTCACTTTTTACCCCTCGTTTAATCCCAAAGATCTGTTTGTGGCACTTGAGAGGCACGACAACACAGCAGAGACGAGCGCTGCGTTAACAGGCAGGCGATGAGGTATTTGGTCCCCACGTACATCACCGATCATGATGGCCTCCTCTGGGGCGCAGTCAGTCCCTCGCAAAGCTTCTAGGAAGAAGGTTTTCTCTGGCTTCCCCACCACTGTCGCTTTGGTATCTGTCGCGTATTCCAGCCCAGCTACAAAAGGTCCAGGTCCCAGAGCCAAGCCATCTTTTTTCTTGAAATATCTGGCTTTATGTATAGCTATAAGAGGAGCCCCATCCAAAATCAGCCTAAAGAATGAACGAAGAAGGAAGTACAAAAATGATATTAAAAAACCCGATGTTTACAGCTGAAGGCCTGAACTGGCTTTCATTTAAGTTGATGACAAAACTCCCGCTGATTCTCACGGAGCCCAAAATTATAATGCAAGCTTGCATTCATTTGGAGAGTTAAATAAAGTTCCTTCCTTTCTTTTCCCCAGAAACATTGAATAAAACAAATCCCCCAAATCAAGAATTTATAATCTTAAGGATTTTAACAGGTTAACTATTTTAAATCCCTCCTCTCTCTCTCATGCAGTTAAGTCCATTACTCTCAGCAGCCTCACTTTTCACTAAGGCAAACATCCCAACACGAGAACCCATCTGACTTCCCCGTGCCAATATTTTAAAACACATTAACCACAGGTAGCGGCTGCAGGTGGCAGTTTGATGGCCCCAGCCTTAAACTCCTTGCTTGGGCTGAGAACACAGCAGTGCTTTCAGGATGCTGCTGCCAGGAATTCTGCAGCCCAGCAGTTCTCGGGACTGTTGGTATCACCTGTAAGAGCCCAACAGCCACGTGCTTCCAGCAGAGATGGGCGTTCGGGTGAATCCCAGGCAGAAGGTGTATCATTTTACCTTCATTTATCTTTTAATGTTGGTGGAATTACAGTAACAAGTTACATGACAAAGCACAAAGATATCAGGCGCAGTCACGTCCCACCGAATTCCCCAGTTAACAGCGCCGTTACCGAGCCTTTTGGAAGCAAAGCTGGATTTGAGCTCCTCGCTGTTGGGAACCAAAAACTCCAAGTGGAAGATAGTGCAAAGCAACAAGTCAGCAGATTCCCAGCATTTCTGAGGATGATAGAAGGGTCACAGTTCCGCAGACAGCATCTCTGCCTGCCAGCTGACTACCTGTTAAACACCTGCACGGAACATGGCATTGTCCGGAGTGGGTGGAAAAATGTAAGGGAAGAAGTAATTAAGAAACTGGTGTTGCTCCACCAATCTCAGCCAGCACCTCCTTCGCCTCACCACCCTGTCACTTCACTTCATGTCTGCTTGAGGGCTCTCATCTAACGCCTGCCTTGTAAAACCCTTGTGGCAAGGAGGACGTCTTCTGAGCACACAGGGTGCCTGAGCAGTGGCGCCGTGACAGCAAAGTAATAAACAGGAGTTTAAGAGGGCTTGCTCTCACAGAATCTGAACCCATTCCTTGATTCCTCCATTTCTGTCACCTGCCCGGCAGTTTTTCCTTACAGCAGCCACAGCAGCTACCTGTCCCGCAGCAAAGGGAAGCTGGCATAGCTGCTGTGCTAGAGGAATCCTCCCGGTACTACCAAGCTCAGCAACGTTCCTGCCGTCCTGCCCTCCCCAGCATCAGTTTCAGTGCAACAAAAGCGCCCTCCCTCCCCCCGACAGTATCTGTAACAGCTGAGGTAACGACTGCCAAACGCTTCACCATGGATTTTACAGCACCTTCTTCAGGCGCTGCAGGCATCTCCAGTCTTTATCACAACAGGTAGGAAGGTAACTAGCAAAGTTGGAGGATAGAGACCTCGCCTCACTGGAGGACTGACACCTCCCCTGGAGCCCTGCGTCCAGCTCGGGAGCCCACAGCACCAGGAGGACATGGACCTGTTGGAGCGGGGCCAGAGGAGGGCTACTAAAATGCTGCGAGGGCTGGAGCCCCTCTGCTCTGAGGCCAGGCTGGGGGGGGCGGGGGGGTTCCGACCGGAGAAGAGAAGGCTGCGGGCAGAGCTGAGTGCGGCCGGTCAGGGCTTAAAGGGGGCCCAGAGGAAAG